ACATTACATTACATTAATTGATAAGCCTGAAACATGAACTTGTCAAGGTTCAGAGGCACATTTTGCAAATATGGCAGTAGCCATCGATCAGCTTAAGATAAGATATACTTTATTGATCCCAAGTTGGAACATTTGCGTTACATCAGCATGTGTTACAGTTGTACATTATGCAGTGGTGTTTATTTGTAAATCATTTAGTATAATCACACAAATTCTGTGTTTTATATTTAACAATTCTGTGTTCTTTATTTATTGATTGTTCAATACCTGACAAGGCCGGAGATTAAATATCTACATACATCTTATAAGAGTATAATACATGATGTATAATATCAGTTAAAATAAGTGCTTCAACATAGTTAACATTGCTGGAGGTATGCACAAATATTGATAGATGTCTTGTAATGCACTATTGAGGAACCTGCGACCCAAGTTTTTCATTCAATGCATAACTACACCATAGTTGTGTAGGCCTATATGATATGTCAATAAACCTTAGAAAATCTTGAAATCTTGAAAGGGATGTGCAAAATAGTAATTATATACAGTCTTTAGTGAACTATTAGTAGAGAATAACGAGTAATGAATATACTTTATAGGGATCCTATTAATATCTAATAATAAAAATAATGAAATTCAATAACCTGCTTTAATCACTAGGTGTCCCTTTATATCAGCTGTGCACCTTTATGGTGTAAATACAACCTATCTACCAATTGGATCAAATATAAAAGTCAGCCGAATTAGTGTTGATACTGCAAGGAGACGTATTGTGTGAAAAGAAATGTAAGATGTTGTTTAATGGCTGATATATTTATGATCCACGTCACGTTTTCAGTTCCTCATGTTTGTCTAGAAGTCTTCTCATCAGGGCTCTATAAATACAGAACTACGGCAGATATGTAATATGTAATGCAGCCGAACCGTGTATTACAATGCCGTTATGTGATGACTTCCAAAGAGAAAAGCAAGAGCACTCGGAATAAAGTTTTTATTTTTTTAATTTTTTTAATGTTTTCGGTCTGTTTCCGGTATTTGTTAATGACGATGTGCTCTGAGATGTGAGACTGGAATTGCACAGGGGAAATAACGTAGGATATCTTTAGATGCGGATTTTGTTAAACTAATATGTTTGCGCTGTGGACCAACACTATACATTGACGGGAAAGGGGGTAGCAATACAGATAACACCATTAAACAGTTACACAACATAACAGAAATAATATCGATAGCAGCGTCCCTAGCAACCACCTGAAAACTTCCTGAAGTAATCTTCGTAATAACTAGCAAACTAAAGATCATGTACATCCACTGCACACATAATCTGAAATAACAACTCATATTTCTCGCATCAAATGACATCAAAACGCATTTTAATGGCCAAACTAACTTTAAAATAGGCATTTTCCATCGAGAATAAAACGAAGTTCGCAGGGAGAAATTTGAAGATCACGTGACATAGACGCCAGCCATTGGAATGAATGGCGTAACCCTCGGAGCACACTCTCCAATCACAGAGCTTGAGGACTATCACGGGGTTTGTCAAACAGAGCACATGGTGTAGTCCAAACGATAGCTGGGGATTATGGGTAGTGTAGTGTCTTCTGCCATCCTTTACTCCGAAAAAATATTTTTTTCTCCGAATCGAAGGGGAAAAATCCAAAAGCATTGCACACAATTTAAACCAATCAATGTTGTGTAGTTAACAAGGATAATCTGGTGTTTTTTAGTCGATGAGTAGTGCAGATATCACTGTAAAATCAATCGACAGTAAGGGGAATACTTACTTCCGGGTGTACAATTATCCGTTATCCAATGAGAATGGACGCTCACATTGCCTTTAAGGGCAGCCGACACAAACGAATGCCGTGCTTCCATGAGCGTCATTACCAGTAGAAATACATTGCTTTTAAAATCGTGCTGTGCAACACGAAAAAAAGGGAAAAATCGTGTTGGTGAACACGAATCAATAGATTAAAATCGTGTTGGTGAACACGAAATGCCATGAGACTGGGTTGGGTGTTCGGGTCAAATTGACCCGATTTCCATTTTCAATGAATACAAAAATATATAAGGATATTTTCGTTCAACCTGAAACTCAATGGCCGGGGCTTATTTATTGTGGAATTGTTTTTATTTTTTTCCACTTATGAAAAAATGTCCACCCGCATTTATGTCCTTCATAAGAGGTGTGGGTCAATCTGACCCGGATACAATACCAGGACACACACACACACACACACACACACACACACACACACACACACACACACACACACACACACACACACACACACACACACACACACACACACACACACACACACACACACACACACACACACACCACACACACACACACACACACACACACACACACACACACACACACACACACACACCACACACACACACACACACACACACACACATAGAGAAGCTGTTTGATCCTGTTTTCCCTTGAACTTTACCCTTTGTAGTGTGTACACAAAACTATCCTAGAACATTATAAACAATTTAGATCTTCCAGAAATGTATAAACATTTTACATTTTCTCGCACTGTCCCCCCTCGCATCTGCACGCCGGAGGAGGGACTAAACAGAGACATAACCTCACAGTGTAGTAACAGTGTAGTGCAGAACTACAATTATCTACCAACAAAATGGCCAAAAGATATTCTGCTCAGAGCCTTGGAGCTAATAATGGATGAGAGTGAGTGGAATGCATTAGAGGAACACGGTGAAGTGGAACAGGAAGAGATTTCTGAAAATGAGGATAGGCTAATGTGGAGGTAAACCCAGAATTTGACAGCAAATTGGAAGATGAACTTGACTCAGAGACAGCTGCTGAAGGACCCCCACAGCCAGCTGCAAGAAGACCCCCACAGTCAGCTTCTGGAAGACCCCCACAGCCAGCTGTGAGGTCTGTGGACCCTCAAAGGACTCAAAGACACAGACTACATTCAGCAACTGCAACAAGTACATCTGATTCTGTGCTATACACACGAAGAAGTTCTGCACATCATGTGTTTCCTAAACGGACTTGCCCATTGACTCACATGATGTTCTGCAGCGTCACTTCATCAATATATTTTTCGGATATACTGTATTTTATGAATAGTGACCGTTAATTGTTTTTATTTGCTTTGTGTTTATATCTGTTCTATGTCATTTATATGGATGTTTCATTCCCTCTATATTTCACAGCCAAATACTTTTGGATGTGAGATTCTTGTGTTCCAATAGCTGCTAAATTGCTTTATTTCCTTCAGGGCTTTGATTATTATATGACAGATTAAAAATAATAAACATTAATGAAAAAATGTTTCATTTACATTTGTCCTAGAAAAGCATGAGCAAAATGGAAACCTAGTTTTTATTACAGTGTATTATTTTTTTAACATAAATTACATTTTTAACACAAAAAACGATGGACACTTCTATTGTTAAATTTGATCTAGCAAAGAGTATTTTCAAAACAACCGTTGGGGAATGAGTTAAAGACAATATATATAAGGAATTGTGCATGTTGAATTTAGTTCTGTATTTTTTTTTAAAACCCTGAAATATGTCCCGGGTCAATTTGACCCGAACATTACCAAAGGGTGCGAAATGTGAACATAACACAAGGGTTAAACAAAAAAGGTGGGCTTCACTGTTTAGTTTCTATGGACATTTGACAACATATCACTGCTCGAACCTCAGTATTATAAAACAACATTGCCTTTTTATTATCTTTTTGGGCTACTATCCATTTGTTTGACATTCTTTTTTCTCCAATCAAAGTATATCTGAAATAGAAGAGTCAGTGACAACCAAGAGCTTTTTGAAAATGATCTACAAGCGTTTGGAGTGACCGCAAAACAAACTGGGAGCACTTTGATAAAAGACTCAGGTGCAGTGCTTTTTCTCTTGGCGGCCATTTACATTTATTCCTCATTAAGAACAATTGAAAAAGATTCTTGCACTCAGGAAAGAAACATATGCACACTCAGCCTTACATAACTCGCACTAAAGCTTCAAATTATAATTTGTTCCTTTGTCTGTGTACAAAATAAACAAACAAGATACAGTTTGTTAACTACTGAGTTTTAGGTGTGCTGCTATGCATATCTTTTATATTTTAAATAAACCAGGTGACCTATTTTTCCTTAACTACAGTCTTAATGCTTTGCTAATAGTCTCTGTTCCTTACTTAACGCCGAGACGTGAGTAGTGTTAATATTTTCATCTGCTCTCAACAACAAAGCAAATATGTACACCTCCTAAAGTGTCAATCTTTCTTGTGAAGGTGCTGTAATTACATCAATTATACACATGGTAACTGGTGGCTCCAAAGGATAGCATCGAAAGTGACACGCCATCCTCTCTGAGCAGTTCAGTGGTCATTAAATAAATACTGGTTGCACCGTGAGTCATGTATCTGTCTGAATTTAAAGCAGAGCATTTCTGAAAAGGTTATGTATTCTCACTGAACCCAGCCTGCCAGTTAAGTCAGAAAAAATTAAGCCTCTCTAAAAATTATACCTCATTTCGTAACCCCGTAAAATGCGAAAAGGTTGTGAATGGTCACCGAGCATTTATTTTCCGTTCATCGTCATTACTTTTTGGTAGTTGGATAACAAAGGGCATGGTGAGGTGAGACCATGTGTCTCCTCGTGATAAAACTTTAATGTTTAATATCAAAACTAAATTCCCTTTCAATTATAAAGAAAAACACGTGGTGGTCAATGTTCAGCTTTCAGTACTCCCTCGTCTAAAATGTTCTTATTGTGTATGCAAATGTCTTTGGATAGCTAATAAGGCCGGTGCTATTCTGTAATGAGTTTTGCTTTCAAGCCATCCATCAGAGTATTTAAATATTTCAAAAGGTGGATATCTAATTTTGGGAAGACTTTCTTCTTTTGAAACGTTCATGAAATGGTGTCTTGGCAGAGACATTCGTGACAGATTTACACAATGCATGGGACTTGGAGCTGAAAGAAAGAAGACGGCAGACATTTTCAGCTGGGTTTACTTTGTCTTCTGTTGATAACAGCTGCGCTCGGGCTTTAATCTGTATTTACGTTCTCTTTACAACATACTGTATTATACAGACAGTCATCAAAAGTTGTTAGTGGTATGGAGTTATCACAAGCATTAAAACAAATGTAAAAAACATAAGAAGCTCCAGTCTTTTTAAATAAAGGAAGGTTATTGTGCAATAAGACTAATGCAGTTCATAATACATATAAAACATTTTTTAAAAGGCATTTTAATGCGGCTTGTCTTATGTCAGGTGTCTGTGTGGCTTTAATGAAAAACATTCTGACTAACCCATGTGACTGGACAGTTAAACAGCGACTAGTGAAACAGATCTCCAGTTATAAATATGTGGATTTTAGCACCTTTTTGCCGTTATGAATTTTAAAGGAACATTCAAGTCTTCACTATCCACCCTGCGTATCAAGCATCAGATCGCAATCCATCTTTGGCTCAGGGTTGGGGAAGGAGCACCTTTAAAAGAAAGCTCTGGGGTAAGAGAAGACGATCCGTGGTGATACATATGGATTTTTGGCTTGCCTTAACACGTCTGATAAGTCTCTTCCTCTCATGCTTTCTCCCACAGCAAGCACCTTCCTCCCCAGCCACATCTTGCTGAATCTGAGGCGAACATAAACCATTATCCACCCCTCATCTTCTCTCTCGCCTCAAAATAAAACATACACCAGAGAGACAGCCACACAGCACCTTCCATAACACACAAGGTCAGAAATATAGCAACATATTCTATTGAATACAATTACATTTCTTCCCTGCCTCGATAAACATGTTCTCCATGTGGTTTCTTGTACACATGGAAACAATGTCTACATTTGCTTTACTTAGGGTGACATACTTGTTTTGCTTATATCAAATCTCACTTTTAAAACTCTTAACTAGACACACATATACATAAAACGCGTCCTATTTGCGACCGAAGGAGAGCTAGCTAGATTATAAGTTCCTCAGAGAGAACTAAAGGGCGATTTCTGCCCGTGTGTTTCTGTCCTTTGCCGGTAAGGGTCATAGGAGGAGTGTTTTGGCATTCGAACCAGCAGAAACAACACAGTGAAGAAAGAGGAAGAAGGCGGACTGGCAGGGGACATGCCTCGGGGGGAGGTGGCGTTTTGAAGGGCAAGTGAGAGGGCGTTCGTCCATCATTTGGTAAGCCGGAGGGAGGGGAGAGAGATGTCCGTCATCGAGTTTAATAAAGAGAAGAGGAAGGACAGAAGAGAGAAGGAAGAGGAGCAGAGCATTGAGCTGTAGGCCTGGCAGTCTGATAAGGAGAGGCTTAAAGAGAGGAGTGGATTGTGTATAGGCCTTTTTTCTGCGCGGGGAAGAATGCGGTGCAGAGTCACTAAAGGCGACAGGAAGCGGAAGAGATAAAGGAAGCCAAAGACGTAAGGACAGAGAGAATGAAACAAGGGGATTGGAGGGAGGAGATGAATCCCAAAGATGGGAGTGGAGATGAAGAGAGAATAACAAAAGGAAGGAAGACAGCAGAGGAGGCCGGGAGCGAGATGAAGAGAGAGATATCTTGTTACCAGCTAGTGCTAAGATAATTAGCCCTGGGTTGGTGAGGAGAAATGTGCGAGAGGATTAAGTGGACCGAAAATAACTCTGAAAGCGTAGAAGCTGCACCTCTTCCTGGTAAGCCTTTTCGTCAGACTCGTGAGACAACCGCCAGCCCTCGGGGTCGTGACGTCATTTCAGGTTGTCAGTCGCCGCCCGTCGAGTCAAAACGGACACAAACAACACTTCTTTCTTTTCTCTACCCCCCTCCCCTGCTGGCTGAAAAATGTGCAGCTGTTACAGTAAGCCCTTACGCTCTTATAGGTCCAGAAATAGCCCCCTTTAGCCAGGGCGGGTGACACGGTGACAACCTCCATTAGCTCGAATGTGAGAGGATTGAATCACCCGAGCTCCGGGGCTTGAACCTCTATCTACGACCCGGCTGAGAGCAGGAATCATATTTCTCTCTCCCGCTATCACACTCCACTCCGTCTCTCTTTTTCTCCATCTGAAGTGCAGAGTGCACTCGCATTGGTGTGTGATTGAGTCGTAAACATTAAGGGGGGAGATTCAGGGGGCCTTAAACACAGAGCGATGTCTTTCGGGCTCCTCTTAAGGAAGTTATGTGTGTTGTTAGGCCTTAAACACTTTTACAGTTCGCCCAATGAGTGCATTCAGGCTCTTTAATCAGCCGTTGTAAAACATTATTTGACACTGTTGCCACTGATGTAGTGGGACTATTCTTATAGCCAGTGCTGTCTTGAAAGAGAAGAGATAATGGGAAATAATGGGGGTTGCATCAGGCTGGGCAGAAAAGGAGGGCGCAGACTAGAGGAGTGAAGGCAGTCATGGAGAAGTCAGACCTTTATCTACAGGAGAGAGAAAAGAGGAAGAAAAAGAGGGAAGGGAAGTGAAAGAGAAACAGGATGGAGCAGTTAGCATATAAATCAATTCTATAATTTGAATTAACAAGAACATTCACAGTGAAAGAGGAAGAGATGCGATTGGAGAGGGAAAAGAATGGAGATCAGCGTAGAGGGGAGAAAGTTAGTTTGACAGGTCGCCTCTGGAAAAAAGCAAATTGGCTTGTCCCCGCAGCTCTGGATTCGTGATGCGTATCGAACGCACTAGGAGAAAGCTTTTTTTCCGGCGGATAGGATCACAATGAAGGAACCAGAAAGGCAAAACCCGGGGAGCAGCTTTTTTAGATTTTGTTATCAAACCCGGCCGTCGTAGGGTCTCGCTTCAATTGGCATATCTTATGACCTGACAAAAGAAACTGGGGGTGCCGAGTGGTAGAAGAGATTATCACCACATCTCAGATCTCAAACCATAAAGTCATTAGCCTGTGACAAGAGCAGATATGATTTGACTCGTGTATTCAGGTTGTGAAGTAGGATTGTGGTTTCTTCCCACTCTCTTATCCTCGACGGCCCCCTCCCCCCTTGCGTCCCTATAGATGAGAGCAACTCGAAAATGAAGGGCCCGCCACTTTTCCGGTTAAAAACAAGGAATCGCCACCAAGCAGTAAACAATAATTTCATCATGCCCAAAAGCTGATGTGTCGTATCCTGCACCCAGAGTTACGGTTTCTTTACTTCCTGAAAGAAACGATCTAATTCAGAAATGACAATAACGGTCTATAATATATTCCAATTTATTCCGTATCGTGTCTGTATTGTACCGTCTTAGTTGTGCCTGATCTATAGTGTTTGAGTGTTAGCCTGCTGCCTGCCACTCGTCCACAGACAGACTGACCGGACATCGATCCAGTATTGATTTAAATTAAATCATAAATCGACGTTGGTCATCGATCTCTAATGAGATTTTTTAATTGTTTGCTGACCATCGTAACTGGGCTACGGGAAGAAGAAAAAAGGCGCAGTAGGCCTACTATTAATGTTTTTAAGTGTAATTGGCTAAAACTGTTTTCACCCAAAAGAGGGGCGGGGCCTAGAGGGAAAAGTGTTGCTCTCATCTATTGGTTTTTACTTTTTGAAGGTGAGCTGGCTGGCGAGGCGGGAGAGGAAGCCAGGCGGTGCGGACCTCCCTCCCCCCGCCTCACCGGCTGACTTCTCCTCCCCATTTTTTCGGGTCAGCTCCAGATCAATGGTCATCAGCACCCGGCCCTCCTCCCCTCCCCCTCCTCCCCCCACACCCTCTGTCTTTCTGGCGATGGTTCTCTGCTGCTGATGCTTGGGCTTGGGCCTCGCCAGCGACAGGTAAACGGGCTGGAGCAGCAGTCGGCCCCAGCCCCTCCCCGTATCCTATTTCTTATCCTTGCGTGACTCCTGCTTCTTCTTTTCCGAGGAGGCCGCCTTCACCTTGGTGGGGTCGGCGGTAGGCACGGGGCCCTGTGGGGGACGAGGGAGAGGGGGTCGGGGGGAGAACAGGGGAGGAGAGTCACTTCAGGAGGAAAGGAGCGTGAGGGTAACAGAGAGACAGTGAGAGGAGGGGGTGACCAGGTGTCTCTCTGGGTGAGGGACTGCACAGCATTTTGTATCATTTGTCCCACCTCCCACAGATTGAGAAATGTCTTGCATTTGATTGTAGTTTAAATGTCGTCCAAGGGATTAGTGCAATATGTCATTGTCCGTAAATTGTTAACTGTTGGAAATGTAATCCATTCAAACCAAATATAGGTCACTTACTTGCATGGTTTCTATAAGGTGTTGTTATTAATATTTATAATGTAGTAGTTGGACATTATCGAAATCTAAACGACCTTTTAGCATCCCAGTAAAATGTCCCATTGTCCCGCACAGACATACTCTTTGTCCCACATGTTGACGCCTTGTCACCCTGGGGAGGTGGGAGGTGGGTGAGTTAAAGTGGAGAGGATGAGACATGGAGTTAACAGGTGGAGCTGTGTGAAGAGGAGAGAAAAAACCCATTTAGGTGAAAGAGAGGAGAGTCAGATACACAGAGAGAGAGGGAGAGGGGTGAGGAGGTAGAGAGACAGTCCTTTTTAGGGGAGGGGGTAGCAAGTGAGGGGGGGGTGGTGTCCAGAGCTGTAAGGGGGTGACAAAACAGGTAACCATGCGTTAGGATGGGACACAGTGGCAGGCAGGCTCCAAAACACCTGTGACAACTGAGTGACCATCGATCAAACACACACACACACACACACACACACACACACACACACACACACACACACACACACACACACACACACACACACACACACACACACACCACACACACACACACAACACACACACACACACCTAGATTGGGTCCTTATGGGGCTGCATGATTTGGAAAAAATTGCTAATTGCTATTATTTTTGACTGATATTGTAATTGTGGCATTAATTTAGCAAATGAAGGGGACATTATTATTTTAAAAACATTAAATTACATTATAATTTTAGGACAATCTGTTCCAAACAAGGATTTTTTATTAATTATGTAGAAAGATATTTGTAGGCTGGGACTTTTCTGCAGCTCCACCACCATTCAGATACGTTTATTTCCATATTTTAGCTAAATATTGCGCTTTCTGCAATTTGAATATTGCACTAGTGCATACCAGATTAGTAACACTTCCATTAATTGTGCAGCTCCAGATTTTACTACTTGTGCTGTTATACGATAACTTTAAATTCGACTAATTGTTGATACATTTTCCTCTTATTTTCCCTTAGTGTTATTCTTATTTCAGTGGGTAATAAAGGTGAGTTTTCAGTCATTAAAGCTTCATTTTAGGTATGTAAAAGTATTATTCAAATGACTATAATTCCGTGTGTAGTTTTGACTTGCAACACAATATAGTCATCAAAAGGCTGTTTACTGATTTAACACTACTATCTATAACCTCATCTGCATTATTCAAATCTCTCCTTTTTCATATCTGAATAAAGCTGCTCTTGCTTTAAAGTATGTTTTTTAACCTCAGATGTATGTCATACTAATGATTATTCTATTATCTCTTTCACTCGAGTGTTTTTGTACATACATTGTCTAAAGAGATAATTAAGACTTTAGGTCCTTCTTGATGATTCTGCATCTTATTTTGTTGACAATAAACTGGTGTTTTTAACTGGGACACCCATTGTTAACACTTTCTGTCCTGCAAATCAAGCCATCCACTTATACTGGGTCCCTGAAATATTATACATTTGAGACACTTTCTACATAAAATAATAAAACTGCACTTCAAGGCATTAAAACCCCATCACATTTAGAGTGGGGAACTTCCTGTCAAAGTGAAATATTTGCTTACAACCCATACATCTGGGATGTTAAACGAATAATTAAAGTTAACAGCCAAATAAAGGTACACTATTGCTGTAGCCTTGAATGGACCTGCTTTACTGGCTATTTGATATATTTTTAAGTCTCACATTCAACCTCCATTCATCTACTGTTACACTGGTATGATTAACCCATTCACTCCCACCCATTCTGCACATTGTCTGTTCAATGTCTAAAACATCTCTAAGAAGAAATCTATGAAAGTTAGAGTAGGAAGGAAGTAGAGCTTCATTTCACAACAGATCCATCAGGAGGAAGTGGACGGATCTGAGATAAGGTCAAGATAACACTTAACTTTACAATAGCTGCATTAAAGTATCACAATAATGCTCACTTAATGCCAACGTCTGTGCACTTGTAATACTCTTCTACAGGTTGTAGAAGGCTGTAGGGCTGTGGTGAAGAGTTACAGTCAGCATGCTGGATGACTTTTGGAGACTGAAACCATTCATGTAAAGTACATTTACTCAAGTACTGTACTTAAGTACAATTAGGAGGTACTTGTACTTCTGCTCCACTCCAATTCAGAGGTAAATTGTGTACTTTTACACTACATTGATTTGATATCTTACAGAAGTACTTAAGTCATTAGCTGCACCTTTACCAGCTTTGATAGTACTTTAATGCATCAATAATTATAAAACACATCATATTATTCAGAAATTGGCCAATTTTTACTTTGTTAAGTATATTTTGATGCTAATACTTTTGTACGTTTACTTGAGTAACATTTGGATGCAGGACTTGTGCTTGTAACAGAGTATTCCTACGCTCTGGTACTTTAACTTAACTTAGTACTTCTTCCACCTGACGGAAACACATCCTCTCATGCACGTCAGGTTACTCAACGGTGGAGAAAAGAAATGCACTAGGCTGCTTCTAGCTCCTGAAGCTCCCACTAATAATCCCCCACTGATTGCATTAGAACATGTATTATCTTTAATTATTCTCTGTGCCAAAGCACTCTGATAAGACGCCAATCGAGGCGAGCGCTGCAGCTACGGTGTCGTTACCTTCGATCATACTTACACTCTCTCATACATCATCGTACTGTTTACCATTATGCATCCCACGGTGGGCTCAGGTTTTTTTTTTTGTTGCTGTATTGCAGAGCTCCCACGCTAATGACGGGGTGAACACACTGCTTAGGAAGGATACAGAGCCCCCCCCCCCCCTTGTCACAGCGCTGCACACACACTTCAAAAGGAAATGTGGGTACAGTGGGGAGGCAGAGGGGAGGTAAGTGGCTGCGTCCCCGGCTGCATACTAAAGAGAGACAGTGGGGAAGGCAGATTGAGAGGTAGATGAAGAGTGAGAGATAGTGATTTTTCTGTCCAGAACCGAAGCTGATCAGAGCCCAGAACACCTGAGGAGGGACGGGGGAGAAACTGGAGGGGGGGGGGAGAGGAGGGGAGGACTGACGGAGAGAGAGAGAGAGAGAGGAAGTAGAAAGGGGGGGAAATACAGACAGATAGATGTTTCTCATGGTCAGGAAGGGGAGAGGAGGATGATGCGACTGAAGAGAGAGAGGGAGGGAGGGAGGGAGACTGGGGACAGGATGAAAGGAATGTGAATGAGAGAGTGAAGGGAAAGGGGGAGGCAATTGGGGGATGGAAAGAAGAATGGGAGGGTTGTGTGTGTTTGTGTGTGTGTGTGTGTGTGTGTGTGTGTGTGTGTGTGTGTGTGCGCAGATCGATACAGAGTGCACTCAATTATCATTCCAGTACAGTGTGTGTGTGTGTGTGTGTGTGTGTGTGTGTGTGTGTGTGTGTTCCTATGTGTGTGGCTGCAGGGTAAACTCCTCTCCCACAACTCCACCTAATGGGGAGTAGCACACACCACAGGGTTCCTTTGTCTCTCTGTCTCCCTCCCTCACTCTCCCTTTTGGAGATTTGTAGCGCAAGCCCAGCAAAGAGCGAGTAACGAACACGCCGAGGCCGATACAGAATTGCGTTGTGTCAGCAGAGCTTCCTAATAAGGGCTATTTGATCAAACAACCACTTATGAGCGCGGTGTAAAACTCCCACGAGCCCTGTGTGTGCGGCGTAGCTACAAGGGAGGAATCAACTAAAGGAAAATCATAAAAAATAAAAAACAAGCAAGTCTGAGCTCAGATATTTTTCTTCCAAAACCACGACTTGCAGGAGGAGTAACTGTAAATGACAACATTGTCAAATATTCCAGCGTCCTTTTGGCGGCAAGTTATTTATTCATATATGCACTGTCACCCGCCGGAGGCACTTGAGAGCAACTGACTGCAACTCGAGAGTAACCTGACAATCATACGACACGAAAAAAATAAAGAAGGGGGGGGGGGGAAGATGAGAAGGAGTGTTGTGATAGGAGGAAGGATGGGCCTCTCGCTGGTGTCACCCTTCAGGGTTGAGCCACAGGGGCAAGATGGCGCACACTCAACAGCCGTCTTTACATTAGCTTATACCTGCGGCTAAATCACACGCCGTCACAGAAACACCTTTGATCCAACGCCTCAGACAACACTCATTTCCAGAGGTGGAAGAAGTACGCAGATCTTAAGTAAAAGTAGAAGTACCAGAGTGTAGAAATACTCTGTTACAAGTGAAAGACCTTCGCATCAACATATACAACATGCCTTGAAATGAAATCTTATGACTTCCCTTTCTTTCATTATCAGCAGGCAAAGGCGTGCAGTCGATTACAATACACCCCCGCACCCCGCATTACCACAGAGTAATCAAACACAACTTGCCCCGGTGCCTTGTATTTACAAAGGAATACAAGCCACCAAAATGTCTGGTTAATCCACCACTTGAGGCTATCACACTCCCATGAGGAATAGGAGGAGGAGGAGGGGGAAAAACAAACCCAAATCCTTGACGCGCAGCAGCGTAAAACCACTGATAACAACCCAGACCATAACAGGCCTAGAGATTTTCATTTGACTCCCAGTGAGAGAAATCAGCAGCTCAAGCAAATCACAATCCTATTCAATGCAGCAACAGAAACGCTCGGCCATTTCACAGTAGCAGGTTGCCCTCTGGATGTTTACTGGCTGCTCGGCCCCTCTGAGGGAGCTGAAGGAGGGGTGAGGGCCACCAGAGAGGAAGAGGAAGAGGAAGGACAGTATGAGGCTTTAAAGCACCTCCAACGCCGACATGGCACACAGCTTGAACACTGTTATTAGTGTTCGCGGGCAGAGTTTGAATGACATTTGTTTGTTGATGTGTTGCTTTGAGGAGGAGCCGGCTAAGTGTGAGGACATGTTGGAGCTTGCATCGGGGGGAATGTGATTACGAAGCTGTGCCGTTATGCACTGTCATGTTTGGATGTGTGCTTTTATGTGGCGCCGCTGCAACAGAAAGGATGAATATTCCTTGTGACAACACGGTTCCTGAGCCTAACTGAACGCCATTGTAATCTCTCCAAAAAGGACATAATTTGACTATTTAGCGCCTGCATGTGACAGCAAGCGGGCTGTTGCATTTGTTGTTGTTTGACTGGGTGTGTTTGTGTGATGGAGCGTGTCAGGAGAGGAGACAGAGGAAGAGGAGGAGGAGGAGGAAGAGGGGATGGTTTTAGGGAGGACAGAAGGGAACTTGCCTGTCTCGCCGGTGTTCCTTCTCTCTTTTTCTTGCCATGTTTGCTGGAGGGGACAAAAGAGAGACAATGTCAGGATGTCGAATCTATCTCTCCCTCCAGTGGTCGCAGGGCAGCACTGCCTGGCAGCCATCATGAAGAGAGCAGCAACTTAATCTACTGTCTCTAACACAGCCCCCCAGGTGGGGAAGGCTTAAAGATATCAGGAGATTGGACAGGTAAAAAACCGGATGACGGATCCATCATTTTCATGATCTGGTGGATAATCCACTCAGAAGCCTCTGCCTCACCACTTTTAATCATCTTACTTTGCAGTACTGTTTTTTTAGATTACATCTAGATGGGAGATAATTATCCGTCTCTTTCCAGCTCGCTGACTCCAAATCCGAAAGCTCACACGCCTAATGAAATCTATTTGGTGGCCTGGCAGCTACGCCCGCTTGGCCACGCAGGTGTCGGTGCCAGGGATGGGCTCCGGCCTCTCTTCCAGCCCCTGGCAGCAGAAACCCCCCGCTGACACTGACCTGACGCTGAGGCTGAAGACACGACGCGCCACCAGGAACCTCATCAGGTAGTAGATGACCACGATGAGCACCAGCAGGCCCAGCACCACCCCGATGATGGCGCCCGTGATCACTCCAGCCTGGATTGGAACTGTCGGTAGAAGGGAGGTTTGAAGAGAGAGCAGAGCATATGAGGATACAAGGGATGGATAGTGACAGAAGAAGGGCTCAGAAGAAAGATCGGAGAAACGGTAAACAAGAGCAGGAGAGGAAAATATGTCACAAATGGACAGGAGAGGAAGAAACAAAGCAAGAAAGGAGAGATGGAAGTAGAAAAAGACAAGGAGAGCAAAGGTAGAATAAAGGTTGAATGGAAGATGAAGAGGCAGAGAAGGAGATAAGGTTGAATAGAGGTGAGAGCAGGGGTACAGGAAGTATGGGGGGGAGAGATGGAAAAGGGTGAAAGAAGTGAGAGAGAGGCAGTGATAGCAATCTCAAATAAAGAACATTGTAATTGATTTCATTTGAGGGGAGGGGAGGGGCGAGGAATCCTAACGGAGGAAGGGATCTGAGCACGGTCATCACTTTGAGTCTGATGCTCTGCCTAAATTGAGATTAAAATCCAGAGTTTGGATCGATTATAACAACAACTGAGAACAGTAGGCTTTCGATGAAGACATGTCACCAGCCATATGGGCTCGGAGGAGGGCTGCAGATGTGACACTGTTGACTTTAGACTTTACATCCTGGGGAATTTCCTTTTGTCTCACCGGTCTCAAACACCAGCAGCCGCACGCTGGAGGGACGGCCCACGATGTCGGGGGGGTTCTTGGCGTCGCAGGTGAAGGTGCCGTTGTCGTTGTAGTCCAGGTTCTTGATCAGGATGGAGCCGTCGCGTTTGCCCGGGTTGCCCACGAACTCCACGCGGTCCCTGAAGGGGCCCTTGTTGTCCACATAGGCCTGCCCACTGGTGTAGTGGAAGATCTGGAGAGGACATAGAGGATGGTGTACTGTAAATGATCCAATTCAAATGTATTTATATAGCCCAATATCACACATCACATTTGTCTCAGAGGGCTTCACAAATTAACAAACATGAATGATAATATAGTAAAAGGACAAGATACATGGGAAAATACCAAAACACAATGACACAAAAACAGTTAGAATACAATAATTAAAATTCGCCAAAGATCGCAGGGGGCGCCAGGCCTCAGATGATTTGAGGCCAAATATCATATTTAGACTCTTTTTTTTAACATATAATTGTAAGGCAATACATGATTGTCACTAAAAGCCTTGTCTCTACATTACAGTAAAATATAAAAAATAATTGACTAATTAATTTTAATAAAAATTCAAGTTAGTATTAAAGGCATAAAAAGACAGAAATGTATAATTCTTTCTTTAATATAAATGTTTCTTCTGCCCATAAAGTGTCCAAACCAGGCTTGTCTGGATAAGCGCATTTTTAAAACATAGTTATTGTCCATGCCGGTTTCAGTTGGATTATTTGTCACAGTTGCTCCGATCAGATCGGTCTCCTCCATTTTGTAGATTATTTACGACTTTTGAATCCACATAAACACATCGGCAAAATCCGGCTTACTTTGAACATGTGTTTTAAACAGTTTAATCCCTTTGTGAATTGTTTCCACTTCCATTGTTTCCCGTCCTTTAATTTCTTCATACAGCGGGAATCCAAATGAATTAATCCTGAGTCCAATAACCATCAAAGTCACTCCAATAGTGCTCCTTAATTACGCTTTCATCCTCCTTTAACAAAATACTTCACATTCATCCAGTTTGTGACAGTTGTAGCATTTTTGAGACTTTTAAACTTTAAATACCGCTGTTGCGCCCCCCCCCCCCCCTTGTGTGTGTGTGTGTGTGTGTGTGGGGGGGGGGGGGCGCAACTTCCAACAGGAGTCATTTGGGGGGGCTCTTGGGAAAAAAGGTTGGGAACCCCTGTTCAAGAGGTTAATTGTGCTTATTTTCAGGTTCATATTTGTATTTTCTGTCTCTCCTGTGACATGTCTCCATGATTTAAAGTTCAAAAAGCTCTTTATATTTCTCATACTGCCTGTATGAGTACAGGAAAGGGAAAACCCCAACAAAGTATAATAAAACTGGTTGTTGTGTAGAAGAACTGCGAGTATTGACATGTTCAAATACCAAAGGTTGAAATCAAATCTGATCATATTCCTAATATCATTATATTTAAAACCTCAGTTTACATTTAGATTAGAGCTCTGCTGATCTGCTGAGAGATCCTATCTGTCTTGTTAGGAGCTAACGGCAGGTTTCTAACGGGGTCTGCCTTTCGCTCGGACAGGTAGTGCGGCTGAAACACTAAAGAATAGTGCAGAGTGAAACAAAGCAGTCACCTTGCAGGCTGGGAAAAAAGCAATGAACTGTAAGAAGTTAAAACACTCCGAGATAATTATCTGTGACTCTGAGAGCAAAAGCTTTTACAGTACAACCATTTCATCGATTGATGATTCTAAAGTATTGATCTAAAAGTAAAAAGTTTGCCTTTTTTGGTTTTCTATGAAACATGTAATGGCGCATTTCTTAAAGTAAGGTATTTACAAAAGTGTTGTTTTAGTGTGAAACCAACAACTCCAGATGGGAGCTGGGTTCGATGCCAAGCCCCACCAATATATCATTTCAGTAAAAAGCCACATTTAATTGGTAGATAACAGACAACTAAAAGCTAATTGATTTTGGGGGAGTCTAAATGGAGGCGTACAGCTGGGGTAAGTGAGGGTAAGCAATGCCCTAGACTCTGAGGTCAAGGTCAAAATGAGCTGACATTTTAGTAAATGAATCAATAAAATGTTCACGTCTGTCTGAAGGTTCGAGGCCTGTGGAAAAAGCCTCTATGAATTATCCACGGCCTCTTGACATGATACGAACATGTCAGAAATCAAATGCGACATTTCAAAAATGACAACTGCTCCGAGAAAAACAGATAGACATATGAAACTGTAAATCTGTCCGGGCAGCCGCAGAAACGAGCGACAGCAGATAAGCAGGAGGAAGACGAGACATCTAGTTTCAAAGTGAGGGCACTGCGGGAGACGGATGAAAGCGAAGGAGGTGAGGGGAGGAGATAATGAGAGAGGAGAGGAGGCGAGGCTGGGGAGGAGGAGATTAAGGGAGGTGGACAGAGGGAGATAGAGAGATTAGAAAGATGGCAGGACGATAAGGGCAGGGAGAGGAAGGTGAGGATTAAAAAGTTTCTGCGCCTGTTGTCCCCTTTCTCTCATGTCAGGGCACATTGAATATCACTCGAGTGTGTGATGGAATTGCAGACTCGGTCCTGTATTTGTCGGATTAAAGCAGGATTCCTTTTTGATGATTTGCAAGTATCCTGCTCTGCGAGAGTGCTTTTAAAATACTCAGAAATCCACCAATACTGAAGCAAAACTCGGATCAGCCGTGTTTCAATTCATCCTGATATTAATTCAAGTTTTCAAGTGATTGCACATTAATCAAATATATATATATAGTTTGGAGGACTTCACTCAGAAACCATGCCCTGTGACATCGCCCCCCCCCCCCATCATCCTCTGACTAATGTCTGTTCCTCTTCGTGCCTGGTAGAGGCAGAGATGGAGAAAACAAAAAAGTCTTTGGGCAGAAGACTCGGCCATTGTTGGAGAGTCGACATTTCTGCTGGAGCACATGATGTATTTGCTTTTTCGTCTTGAATATTTATTTGCAGCTTTTTGAATTTGAATCACACCATTTAGGAAAATGAGGAAAGATGAAGGGACTCTCTTTCATTTCCTCTTAATAGCAATTTCTATGTTCTCAAAATCTGCCTCTTTAGCAAATAAATGCTCCACTTTGTCTGCCATCTCATCACTAACTTTGTCAGTGTGCGGTTTGGCTTTGAGAAGGAAGTCTAAAGTGAACAGTGTAGGACAGTAACTGAGTATATTTACTAAATACTGTAATTAGGTACACTTTTGAGGTACTACATTTTAAGAGGACACATTGTAGTTTTGACCCTTCTATATTTAGCCTATGTTACATTACAGATTCAAATTAACTTTACCAAGTATTTGTTTTGTGTACTTTAACTACATGTTTGAAGGCAGGACTTATACTAGTATTTTTTACCGTGTGGTTTTACTACTATGTCTTAAAACACAGTACTTCTTTTACCTCTCAGTGAGTTTATCAGAGCTTTTCTGCAGAACTCAGCGGCCTGTGGCGACTGAATGCAGATGTGTGCATTAGAGTGGATTGAGCTGTAAAACCAGAACAATGAGCCTAAAAATGAATCCCTTTGAAGCTCACCTTAAATCTGTCCCATGACAATCTCATAAGAGGCAGCTTTAAAGTGGGTGTGACTAATTTTGATTACTTTAAAGGTTGTTTCTCTGTTTGTTAACCTGTCGATAAGCACCAATTATCTTGTGTTGCACTACTGGAGGAGCATGTGACCTAAGTTTTTAATTGCCATATCTACACTGTAGCTAATGTACAGATCCGGACTAAAACCACCAGACAAAGGGACAGTTCATCCCACAGGCCATAAGACTGTTAAACACCTGAACTTTTGAAAGAACATCCATAACATTCATCTGTTTGCAACTTATATCAATATTCCAATGACTTGTATATAAACTATTCTGCACTATTTCCATTAGATTCTATTTCATTTCATTTACTTGCACTATTATCTGTTTTATTGTGTTGCACTGTTGGAGGAGCCTGTGACCTAAGAATGTCATTGTCATAACTACACTGCTATATGTACACATGACAATGAAAGCCTTGAACCTTGTACCTTGAAATGACAATAAAGCCTTGAAACTTGAAACAATGAGCAGTCTATAGTGGTTGTGTGTGTGTGTGTGAGTGTGTGTCTCACAGAGATGCTGTCCCGGGATCCGTCCGGTCTGTACGTCCAGGAGAAGGTGACGTCATCGGAGGTGCCGCGCCATGAGAAGAAGGAGCAGGAGAGGCGGACGTCGGAGCCCAGCAGGGCGTGGCGCTCCCAGCCGGTGTAGATCGATATGGCCTCCGTCTGCTCGGGCACTGGACACACATAACATCAGGATTCATCAGTGGCGGTTCTAGACCAATTATACTTGGGGGGGGGGGTTAGTTATTTCATGAGAGGGGACAATAAAAGCGGGTTAAAAAGACAAAGACAGTATCAAGTAATTGTGTAAAATAAACGTAAAATACAGTAATTGGTTTTTGTTTTTGTAAAGATATTAGTTTTAGTACATTTAAGTTACAGTCCTTTGTTTCAGTAGTTTTTTTTCATTTAGAGTATTTGTTTTAGTAACTTTAAGTGACAATTTAATTACAAAACATAAACAGTATTTGCTTTTATATAAGGTCATGAACAGTTTAATCTCCACTGTACATCGGGGTCTCTGATTTGATTTAGTTCCAATAAATCGTAATATTGGTTTTTTTGGAGGATCAGTGCGACGGGGGCACTGGCCCCTGTTCCCCCCCCCCTAGAACCGCCCCTGGGATTCATCCACAAACATCACCACGAGGCAAAAGATTCAGGGAGAGCAACATGTTTTGGGTTTAATATTATCATAAGTATTGATTTAAAACATAGTCTACAATCTGCAGTAGAATGTGATCAGAATTTCAACCTGCTACACTTTTTTTTTTAGTTGAGAGCAAATTGTGAAGATATATGAATCATTCATGCAGAATTGGCTACATGAGTGGAAATTAAAAAACATTAAATGAGTACAAACTTTGAAGGCCTTCATCTTATAATTGCAATTCAGTAACAGTCTTCAGTTTATGTGACATCTTTTGGTTAGTATTTGGAGAAGAAATACAAAAAAATATAATTGGAAATCTAAGAATACCCTCCGTTCAACTTTGTATAAAAGTCATACTGTTTTCCGGGTCAATGTGACTGATTTTGATGTTTGTTCTATTATACTTTTAATCAAAATATGCTTAGTTTTCTCCGTAATTCACTACATTTCTGACCATTTTTCAACTCCTACCCTAACCACAAGGCATACAAAGCACAACTCACATGACCTTTCTCTCTGAAATCTTTTAAATCAGATACTTAGCTATGCACCAACACACACACACACACACACACACACACACACACACACACACACACACACACACACACACACCACACACACACACACACACACACACACACACACACACACACACACACACACACACACACACACACACACACACACACACACACACACACACACACACACACACACACACACACACACACACACTGTTAAACTGCACATTTAGAGGTGTCAGCTCCACCATCGATTCAGACAAGCACTCAGTAAATATGTGGATTAACACTGGAATATTAGTGCTAGTCCCTCAAAGTCAAAGGGGAACATCATTTCCCCATTAATATGGATGGCGTTGGCTTAATCATGTGCACTGTTTATGCTCGAATAATATCTAATGATCGATGTTCATTTGGTTTTGGCTGCAGAATCAATATTTTACTTCCCTCAAAAATGCATTCAGCATCTCAAGCAACCACCTCTGCAACCGCCGCAACAACATCATCTTTCTGTTGTTCAGTTTCACTTACAGCCGTGAGTCACTGTATTCTCACTAATGCCCATAAGTGTAGCAGAGCTTCATGCTTCCTCTTCTTTAATCACCCGGAGAGTAAAGTTCACAGCGTTTAATGCAACAGTGAACGCGGTCAGCGCAGAAAACGAGTCAATGAACTCACGCTTGACATTTTCAATTACAAATCTTACAAAAACTGCAAATATGTGACAGGCGGGGAGCGCAGAGAGCCTCAAGAACTCAAGCCTCCATTTGAAAGTCATAATATTGCTTTTGAGGCACCTGCAATTATAAGAGGAGCACACAGGGACAGTGCTGGGTCATCGAGTATAACACACCAGAGAATGCCTATTTTGTTATCAAATAAACAGATCAATGTTAAAGATATTAGTTCAATACGCTTTGAGTTTTAACAGTGTGAATAGTTCAATCAATGAATCCCTACTGCACTGAAAAAACTTAAATGTTGACTTTATTTAAATGTGTTAGGTCAACAAGTTTCACATTACTGTATAGGTTAGTTGAAAGCAATAATATTAAGTTGAACATTATAGGTTTTCTTTGAACTTAAAAGTATTGCTTTCAACTAACCTAATACAGTTATGTGAAATCTGTTGACATAATACATTCAATTAAAGTTGAGTTTTTTCAGTGTAAGCCTTTTGACCTTATTTTTTTCAAATATATCATCAGTTTTCAGGTTAGCTCTGAAGAAGAAAACACCGCACATTCAACCCCACATCAGATGTAAGATCATTTCACCATCTTCCTTTACAAAAGCTGTAACTCTCTGGTGTCTTCGACTCAAAAAATAAAGTAGGAACAAGTTCAATATTTTCTTTCTTTTACCTATTCCCAGGAGGAGAACCGACGCCAGCGCCACAAACGTCAGCATGGTTTCAGGCTTCAGGAGAGACTGGTGCTGCAGAACAGAAGTCTGTCGAGGAAGAGGAGGGCAGGCGAGTGGAAGGAGGAGAAAGACAGACAGAAAGTGGAGGGGTCAGGACGCCAGGACACGGGTCTTCAAAACAGGACAACAACAGGAAACCCACTGTCCCCTGGTTTATATCCAACCACACCTCTCAGCCCGGCCCATTCCTCCTCTCCACCCCCCCCCCCCCTCCCCTAACTTCCACCCCTCCTGTGAACCTCCCTCATCGAGACACACATCATCTTTTCAAGTGGTAGACAAAAGGAAGGCGAGAGGCACCTGTAGCTGGTCAATTAGGTAGGTAAACAATGGGCTCTTTGGGGCGAATTTGCAAAAAACTCTGAAGCATCACGCCATCATGAATGAAATGTGTTAGATTACACCCTCTGTGTGATGTGAGAGGGAATGCTAATCAACACTTAGCATGGAGGCGCTGACAGGAAATCAAGACCATCTGTAGAGCTGTGTGTGATCAGTGCTCATATGTAAATATCACATGTGTGTTTACAGTGAGGGAGGAGGAGGAGGGGGGGATCCTGCAGCGAGGTCAGACCAGTGCTCCCCCCCCCCCCTCACCTCTCCTCTTCTTGCACTTTCACCGGGTCTGACTCCAGCGGCTCTGAAACAAAGCCCCGACTCTTTTGCTCCCTGTCCTCCCTCTCTTCAGATTCCTGTCGTTTGCTGACGTCTAGCACTTGGAGACAATGGAGAGAGGGGGGGCACTGACCAAACTGTCAATGGCGCTTTCTTCCACCCTTGCCTGGTTTTAATGCTTCTGCCCAAGACAAAGCTTCGTATTCAAAAAATGGAGCGCCCTCGTTTCCAGTAACACAGACAGCGACTGAGTGGGACCTGCTATATATAGATGGGTTGATATGAGGACACACGGACATGAGACAGAGACAGATACAGAAGCAGGACATGAGGAGAAACATTTGAGAAAGAGCAGACACGCTCGAGTGGAATTTCTGCAAAAAAATCTTCATTTTTTAAAAAGGCTTCATTCCATCATTTTGTCACATGTCATAAATATGCATCAATTTAGCCGCTGGCGTAGCACTAGTGGATGCATGCACAAATGAATGGTCTGCGGTGCTCCTCCAGCTTCAGGAAGCACACAAGCTGGATCCACTTTTACCACAAAATGAAGTTTAAAGTATATCATGTATATCTCCTTCTGCCCCCCTTGGGAAATGAATATGAGGGGAAAGAAGAGCTGCTCCAAATACAAGTCAAAAGATGATGAAAATAAGGTGTTTTCACTCGTAACAAGTAACAAAATCTGCGAATAGAACAAGTGAAAATTCGCTTGGTAACATTTCTTGAAATAAGATGGGATATTTAGATAAATCAGATGTAATTGACTTATTTTGCACTATATTTTTCCAGAATAAGGAAATGTTTTTGTTACAAAATAAGCCACAAATGCTCAAAAGTGTTCTGTTTTCTGATGTTAGACGGATTTTTTCGAATAAACATGTAAAAAAGAAACTTGAAAAAAGAGTCTTTGCCTTAACAAGATACTCAAGATGCATTAAAACAAGACCCTATGTCACTGCGTTGTTACCTCTTAGGTTATTAAAGTAAAACAATTATGAAAACAAGGTATTAGGAAAATTAGCTTGGTAAGATTTCTTGAAATAAGATGGGATATTAAGATGAATCAGATCTTGAAATTAACTTATTTTTGAACTATATTTGACCAGAATAAGGAAATGTTGTGTTAAATAAGCTAACTAAATGTTAGTTGGTGATTTTCCAATAAACGTGTAAAAAAACAAATACGTTTTTTTAAATAAGATGTTTTCAAGTGTCTTAAGATGAATACAAACAAGACCCTTCGTCTCATTGTTACTTCTTAAGTTATTAGGTCTCAAGTGTAAATAAATGTCTGACTAGATATTAGACTAAAAATACTTGGCAATAATTGTTCCAGTTTTTGTAGTCTAGAGGAGGCACTTGACAAGGTTGTCCACTTCATCCTCTTCTTTGTCATTTTGTTGAGGCTTCTCATCCAGGTTTCCTCTGCTCTCCTCCTCTTGGCCGAGACGGCAGCAGAGCATTTAGCGACAGATTGACTTTTGCTTACATTTGAGACCGCGGCATAAATTCTTGCCACTTGTGAAATATTGCAACCACTCATTCATTTTAACACCCCAAATACCCCTGCTGACGGATCAGCTGAACAAAATGGACCATCTGCCAACTTGTTGGCGCCATCAACTGTCTAAGCTTTGGCTTGAACGTCTAAATCGCGACATCCTTAACAATTATGGCAGATCCTGCCTTCAGGCCCCGGAGAAACAGGGGGATTCTTTATGAGCCTGGCAGGTGCGGAGCGTGGCAGCCGCCCAAACTCGTCAGCGCCGAGTGACGGTGGCAGCGGCAATGGCTCAGCTTGGCAGGCAGAAAGTGTATCACATATAGAGCGAAGGCCCCGTTCCTTCGGCTGGCAGCCGTGCAGCACACTAATGCAGGAGAGGGAGAGCTTATCTACAGCTAAATTATACAGAGAGGAGGTAAGAGAGAGAGCTAGCTGTAAGAAACGGACAGAGAAAACACGATCCATAGAGCCATTTAGAGATTGTTGCTAAATTATTCATCAGTCGTCAGCTGCACTTTAGTGATATTGGGGTGGACAAGGCTTCATATCAATTGGTGTTATTAGAGTTGAATGAATACGCAAATTACCCCCGGCTTCAGCCACGGCGAGAATGAAACCGTCTTAACTGTCAGCCCATGTAACTCATCAGGCTTGTTTTTTTGCGGGTTGAAACAGTGGACTCGGTAGCATTTTGTGAGGGCATGTCATTAGACACCCGTAGAAATGTACAGAGCATTTTCCCTTGTGATATTGTCATTTTCTTTGATGTAGAATTATTTCCAATGGCAGGAGAGAGAAAAACATACATACCAAGCGCACATTGAAAAGACCGGGGATAATCAGTCTGGGAAAGAGTCCCGAGCTGTAGATGCTAGGCACTTGTCAACTCTGTGCATGTCTAATTTTTCTGCAATGTTGGGTATGTTTGTCACAGAGCAGCGGTGATCACACGGCAGGCTGGCAGATGTGCAGCGGGAGTCTTTATCAGGGCTTCTGTGAATGGAGAGTGTCTTTAAGATAGGACTGGAGGGTTTATCGCCGGTTTAATCTGGGAAAAACTAAGAGACACAGAAGAAATACACACCACAGGCTGGTTCACACCAAGGTCAAAAGACTAATGACCGTGGACAATGATCCGATGGACCCCCTTAAGCACAAGCCTCTCAGTGTGGGCCAAAGTGAAGCAGTGACAAGTGGGCAACAACAACTACCCTCGCCATCATAAACCAATCATCAAGTGTTCTCGCAAACGACTCCAACGGCTCACAGTTTTGCTGCAGGGGTTGGATAATCAAGCGAAACATTTCCATAACCAAATAAGGCAAATGAGCCATGGCGAGCAATTGGCCAGAAAACTGTCAAAAGTTAGTGCTAGGAGGCAGGATTAAGTATAAATACAGCACTGTGGTTCTATAATAGGACACCAGTTCAAAGCCTGATGACTAAAATAAGATCTCGAGGAGGATACTGCAGCTAAAAATGACTAGAAATGGTTTGTATACCTTATTTTTAAGCATTTAGTGCAGATCCCCAACCAGATAAGTCTGCAGTTGCTTATGAGCAGATGGAGGGATTGTAGAGTAGCTTGAAGTCTGTCAAAAATGCAAATGTTGACTCAGTGTGAACATGATGTAAAAAGAATATGTGTGTGAAAAATAGTGCAAGGAAATACAAACACTTGGATAAAGGGAATCGGTAGTTTAACTAGCATGTTAAAGCACATGATGAACATATGAAATTGTTATTTTAAAAGTACCAGATAAACCTTTAAAGAGTCCTCTCCTGCTGATGTTCAGGTGTATATCAGTATGTAGTGTCTCTACTTTAAAGAGTCCTCTCCTGCTGATGTTCAGGTGTATATCAGTATGTAGTGTCTCTACTTTAAAGAGTCCTCTCCTGCTGATGTTCAGGTGGTATATCAGTATGTAGTGTCTCTACTTTAAAGAGTCCTCTCCTGCTGATGTTCAGGTGTATATCAGTATGTAGTGTCTCTACTTTAAAGAGTCCTCTCCTGCTGATGTTCAGGTGTATATCAGTATGTAGTGTCTCTACTTTAAAGAGTCCTCTCCTGCTGATGTTCAGGTGTATATCAGTATGTAGTGTCTCTACTTTAAAGAGTCCTCTCCTGCTGATGTTCAGGTGTATATCAGTATGTAGTGTCTCTACTTTAAAGAGTCCTCTCCTGCTGATGTTCAGGTGTATATCAGTATGTAGCTTCTCTACTTTAAAGAGTCCTCTCCTGCTGATGTTCAGGTGTATATCAGTATGTAGCTTCTCTACTTTAAAGAGTCCTCTCCTGCTGGTGTTCAGGTGTATATCAGTATGTAGCTTCTCTACTTTAAAGAGTCCTCTCCTGCTGATGTTCAGGTGTATATCAGTATGTAGTGTCTCTACTTTAAAGAGTCCTCTCCTGCTGATGTTCAGGTGTATATCAGTATGTAGTGTCTCTACTTTAAAGAGTCCTCTCCCGCTGATGTTCAGGTGTATATAAGGATGTAGTGTCTCTACTTTAAAGAGTCCTCTCCTGCTGATGTTCAGGTGTATATAAGGATGTAGTGTCTCTACTTTAAAGAGTCCTCTCCTGCTGATGTTCAGGTGTATATCAGTATGTAGTGTCTCTACTTTAAAGAGTCCTCTCCTGCTGATGTTCAGGTGTATATCAGTATGTAGTGTCTCTACTTTAAAGAGTCCTCTCCTGCTGATGTTCAGGTGTATATCAGTATGTAGTGTCTCCACTTTAAAGAGTCCTCTCCTGCTGATGTTCAGGTGCATCAGTATGTAGTGTCTCTACTTTAAAGAGTCCTCTCCTGCTGGTGTTCAGGTGTATATCAGTATGTAGTGTCTCTACTTTAAAGAGTCCTCTCCTGCTGATGTTCAGGTGTATATCAGTATGTAGTGTCTCTACTTTAAAGAGTCCTCTCCTGCTGATGTTCAGGTGTATATCAGTATGTAGTGTCTCTACTTTAAAGAGTCCTCTCCTGCTGATGTTCAGGTGTATATCAGTATGTAGCTTCTCT